AGTTACTAGTAGTAGTCGTCGTCGTAGTAGTAGTAGTAGGAGTAAGAGTAAGAGGAAGAGGAAAAGGAAGAGGAAGAGGAAGGGGAAGAGGTAGAAGCAGCAGTAGCAGTCGGTGCTGTCAGAGGTATAGCATTGCCGTTGGCGTGTTTCAGTATTGAATTGCCTGCTGGAGCCTCAGCTGTTCGAAGCACGACTCGCCCGTTGGCCAAGGTCACCTGCTATGCCAAGGCTGGCATTGCCATGTTGTGTAGTACAGGTGATACCTAGACCCTCGGTCTAACCTCTATTAGGCCCTAGATACCCATTGTCGTTTGGAGCCATACACCTAGTCATGTTGTGGTATTAGGGGTTTAGGGCTGATAACTTTTGGGTCTCAGGGTGCCCCCATTTTCAACGGAAAGCTGCAGCTGTTCGGGCGTGGCTAGGCTGAGCTGCAGGGTACATCTCAAGCTGAGAGGCCTGAATTTTCCAAGCGGTATCTAGCACAATCCCTAAACTGTGGCACACACCTCAACAACCCAACAGACTTGTTCTCAATTTGAAAGTTTACGGCCGAGTTCGACAGTGACAGGCCTGCTGCTTTTCTGAGGACCTTCATGAGTAAGGTCAGCCTAGCTTCTTCAACCCCTAGATGCTCTAATTCCTATAGCCTGCACATCCTTACGAGCTAAGGGCTAAAGCCTCAACCTTAAATCCTACATCCCCCTCCTTAAACTCTTTGGGGACTTTAGGTTGTCTGTTTGCAGGGGTGTCAAAGGGTCCATAAAGCGACCGTTGTTTCAGGGTGCGGTGGTTCTATACGTCCCTACAAGACTCCCAAAGTCCTTACCCATGGTTTTCTTTTGTTGGACCCCGGAAGAGCTAAATCGCTGATTCCCAATTTAAAACCCCATGCCCCAGAGCCCCTAACCACATAAAATTCATACCCAACCTTCATCGCCGAAACCCTTTTCAAGGACATGTGTAAGGAACTCATAATAAGGAGGCCTAGCAAATGCAGCTGTCCCAGGGTTCCCGAAGTTCCGTAAACAAACACCCCACCTGAGACACCCTAAACCGTAAACTGCCCCAAACCCTACAACCCCAGCCTTAAAACCCCTCAGCCCGAAACCCTAAACGCTACAACCCAAAAACTTGAGCCCAAAACCCTAAAGCCAAAAACCCTAAAGCCCTAAGCTAGAGCCTGAAACCCTAAAGCCTTAAAACTCGAGCCTAAAACCCTAAAGCCCTCAAACTCGAGCCTAAAACCCTACTTGGAGGATCATGGGACTTAGTAAGTAAAGTTATAAGTCCCCTGGGGTTATAAGTATAGTTACCTTAGTCATAACCCTACTTACTAAGCCCGTGATCCTTTAGGTAAGCCCTAAACCCTAAACCCTAAACCCTAAACCCGGCCTTGCTCCCTAAAAAGGCGCCCCAGGGCTGGTTCGAGTACAAGCTGCGGCCTGGGAAGCTTTGGGACGAGCGCTGCACCGGTGGCCGAGCTGTTTAGGGTTTAGGGTTTAGGGTTTAGGGTTTAGGGTTCAGGGTTCAGGGTTTGGGGTTCGGGGTTTAGGGTTCAGGGTTTAGGGTTTAGGGTTTAGGGTTCAGGGTTTGGGGTTCGAGGT